GGGACAGGAATTATTCTTTTTTTCAGTCTTCAGCAATGGTAAAAGCCAAAGAAGGAAGAACCAAACACAGGAGGGGAATTCATGATACAGTTTAGGTTACCGATAAAAAGATTGATTTCAGCAAACTATGGGTTGCCATTCTGCTGAGAAACATCAAAGGATAAAAATCTGAGAGATAATTTACACTGTATTTGTTTTGATCTCGAGGAAAGAAATTGGGCTGGAATATGAAAATCATCACAGGGCTTTGGAAGTGACAAAAAATCAATGGAGCTACCAAAACTGTTCTTGAGTTCTCTCAGCTTAGGCTCTTGCACTGCACTACTTTTAATCAGCTGCTGATAATAGTCCTTTACAGATGTGTGTGTGTGTGTGTGTGTACAATGATCAACAGAAAGAGACTGAATGTGTAAGTTCACACCTATTTATTAGGCAGACTAAGGTCAATTAATGGTAAGTATCTGAGCCATATAGTCTGAAATGTTCCTCGTGAGGGGAGTGGAGGTGCAGGGACTGATCTCTTATCTCTGGTAACAGGGATGGGACCCAAGAGAAAGGGATGGAACTGCATCAGGGAAGGTCAAGTTGGATATTAGGAAAAGGTTGTTGACCAGATGACAGGGGGAATGGAATAGGCTGCTCAGGGAAGTGGTCACAGCTGCTGGAGTTCAAGGGGCATTTGAACAATGCTCTCAGATACAGGGTTTGAATTTTGGCTATTCCTGGGTGGAGCCAGGAGCTGTACTCACTGATACTTTATTGATCCCTTCCAATTCAGGATATTCTGTATGATTCTAAATATCAAGATTATGTAGAGTTAGGAAGAAGAAATTGAAGTTTGAGTGCTGAAATAATGAGGATTAAAATAACTGAGGATTAAAATGCTTGGTTGGAGAAGAAATAGAGCAAGAATATTCATATATAAAGATATAGCCTTTTCCAATTAAGACAGATTCCTTTCTCAACAGAATGTAATCACTGAAAGTGCACTATATCTGTACATTTAACGGCCTTTTTCAGGGACAGAACATGGGCAAATCTTAATTATCCACTTAAACGTTTGAAAATGATAGACTGACAAGTTCTTGGAGGGTGTTGGAGCAATTTTTTCTTAGAAGTGTCTGAGCAAGTGCTCCAACTGGCAGTATAGTTTGCCTCTCTTGAAAAGGAGCATACTGCCCGAGAACAAAAAGTTAAAAAGGTATTACCATAGCAACTCATCAAAACATCATACTGCTTACTCAGGCAAGGTCACAAACTTATTGCTGTTTTATTGCTTCAGAAGCTTTAAAATGATAGGCAAGGCAATTTAGATCTCTGATTGATGACAGACTTTGAAATAATCTCTGTGTATATAGAAGACTCACAGTTCAACACCAACTCAGGAAATTTCTGGATTTATTCTTACGGTATTATACAGTAGAAAAACTATCCGTTACCAAAATGACAGTCTTAAAAGCATAACAAAAGCCACAGAAAGGAAGAGAGATAAGAATCACAATAAAAGCACTATAACTGCATTTGGACTTCTTCAATAACTACGTGTGGGAGCAGTAAGACAAGAATGATCATGACTGTGACTTTGTCTTCAGACTTTCTTGGTGATGGAAATTTAAACTCTTCGTTCAGGGATAACTAAATCTACAATTACAACATCCTTGGTGGGTACTCACATCACTTTTACAGATACCTCTGCACATGCTTGTGAGAAAAATAACTTATGATGGCTTAGTGTTGAGTTTGTTCTGGGTGTTCTGTAAATGTTCGCACAAATCCAGGATCATTTAGGATCTTTTAGCTTCTAAAACTTAACCTCAAATCTGAAGAACACAGTTCACGTCAATGTTCTTGGTGTAGTTTCTCTCCTGTGCCTCATGTCTTTGTGATATGTCAAATTTTGAAACTCTAGGAGCGTAGGAAAAAATCTGTGTGTGCTTATGTCCTGAAAACTGGACCTGGATGTATCTTTAGGCATTTTGTGTATCTACTGTATTTAATATATTTTTTAACATGCTTGTTAACAGCACAGAGAAAGCAGTTGAGTCACAGGATTTAACATATTGTATCTAGTTCATCTGACAGAAGCTGAAGGCTGCTCCGTAGCCACATAAAGTATGTTTTAATATGGGGAGAAAAGATACTCACTGGCTGCAATTTTAAGTCGTTTGGAGATCACAAATGTAGTAACTAATGTAAATGAGCAATGAAAGACAATTAATTATCAAACAAAAAAAATTTCCACATTGGCTGTATCATGCCTGTCAAATTTCTGACCTTGCTCAAAATAGGGAGGTTTTCTTTTTCTTTTTAAGTTAATGCTATACCATTTCATGCAAAAATTCATTGTCTGTCTAAGTTAAAACAGAGTAGAACCAGCAGCTCTGCTGCCAGAGATAGCTGTCCAGCCTTGGTGGAGGGGCTTACTGCATTTTTTATGTTTTTTGAAAAAGCTGTGGCAGAATGACAACTATCCCATTCAGTGTATGGAAGTAATGCTGTAAAACTAATGCTTATGTGCCTCCCAGTATGAAATTAATTTTAGAGGGCATAAAGAGTGACTCTTTATAACTGTCTCTGTGTGTTATAACATCATTCTATCAGGTAGATGGTGATTGAAGCAGGAGAGGAGGAAGGTAGGCTGTATTTTATTTTATTTTATTTTTTGAAGTTTGAGATCCTTCATCCTTTTTTTGGAGTTCAAGATCCTTCATTTTCATCACTAAGTGCCTTGCACCTACTTTTTTTCCGTTTTGTTTTCACCTTATGCTTCTTATTGGGTTTGTGATGTTTATAGAGGATATTTCAGTCCTATTTCCTTTCTCCTCACCATTTGAAAACAAGGGAGATGCTCCTGGATGTGAGGCAGGAGAAAAATGGTGGGATGTCACTTCTTACAATGGCAGGACAATGAGGATTGCTATGAGTCCTGGAGATAACCCAGGAGGTCAGTAGAGGTCTGCAGTTATATTATTTTTCTGTCAAGGTCCTGAGGGCACAAATAAACGTTGTTGTCCCTGCTGACTGGGACTGACTGGGACTGGGACATCCCACACTGTCTATGGCTCAGGTCCCCATGCCAGCCCCTGCCTTAGCTGTGAGGCTCTGCCCTGCTGTGATGGTGTACTCCCTACCATCTAAAGACTTTTGATCCTTATACCAAGGCCTCGTTCAGACAGTGACTGTGCTACTGGTAACGCCAATTTCTTTACTTTCTCAGATTCATTCTATGATTCTTGCTGGGGCAGATAGCAGCTGGAGTACTGTCCTAAACTGGGTTCTGGAGGAACTAATGGACAGATGTCTTGCTCAAAAGCTGAGGGCCGATTGAGCATGCACTCCATCTTCTTATCCCATAAATAGTCAAGAGTCTAAGAGCCCCGTGAGCTCTCCTGCCCAGCAAGTGGCTGCATGACAGCATCTCCCTCTGAGTAGGGGCACCTCATAGGTTATTCCGATTGTAGAGATGCTTTCTACCTTGGTGTCAAGAGACACTCTGCTGATACAGATCCTTGGTAACTGACTAATAGTCTTCCAAACTTTGTAAGCTTTCCTAAGATTATATAGTATTAACTATACGCACACAAATCTTGTAGACATAAATGGTTTACCAAGTCTGGGACTAGGAGTGGATTCAGCCTCACCTGGGTTCCTTACCTTTTCATTTCAAGAAGTTTAGAGAGCAAGTGGATCCATTCTGAACTTTGTGACTCAGCAGAAGCTTCTCCTCAACCTTTAGAAGTAAACTATAGACTTGGACTAAATTTGGGCCAAGCTGCACCTCTGAGAAGAAGTTTAGGAACTAAACTTCCACTCTGAACCTCTTGATTCAGTAGGAATCTCTCTTGAGTATGCATAATTTTTGTGTTTGTAACTGTATGAAATACTCACTGTACACAAGTGGGTTTAGGAGTGCCATCTTCTTGGAAAAACGAAGCACAGGTAATTACTGTGTACTTCCAAAACTTTCAACATTAAGCGCTGCAGTAGAATGCAGTAGAAGTTCCCATGTTGAAGGCTGCCATTCCTACTTTTAGCTATGGGCATTTCTACAACTTAGAAAATGCAACCCCCCCCCCCCTCCCCCCCCCCCACCAAAATAAAAGAAAAAGAAAGAAAGAAACAATAACAACAAAAACCAAATCAAATCAGTCAACCAAACACTGTGTATTTACTGTTGTCCACAGAAAGTGCTGAGTCAGGATTACAGAGCTTATATAATTGGCAAAGACAATGCTTAGAACATTTTAAATTTCCAGAGTGTACAGCCTATGCAATGGAATAGTTAGTCCACACCCTGCAATTTCGGATTAGGGAGCATTGCATTGCATTGCATTAAGCCATATTTTATGCAATGTTCTCATTAGGGAACATTTTTTATGGTCATTTTCTTAATGAATAATCATAATAAGTATTTATTCCTTGTTACTGGAATTACACTGCTTCCTTTCTTTTCCTTTCTTTCTTTCTTCCTTCCTTTCTTTCTTTCTTTCTTTCTTTCTTTCTTTCTTCCTTTCTTCCTTTCTTCCTTTCTTCCTTTCT